GTACATATTCATCGTAATCTTTTATCACATTTTTGCCTAAAGCCAGCATAAATGAAGGAGTATTGATTCTACAAAAAGTTTTTCGTACTGGAAAATTTATTTACAAACCTACCCTATTAAAGTTGGGAAATTAATTTACGCATATCATCTGTACAATGTTAGGTACATGGTAGTGTGGTGTTATATGATGTTGTGGTTATGTGGTAATTCATCGACTACAAAAGCCAGTACTGTCCAGCAAAACCCAACGAAATCTGCTCGTCTTTTTACTGCACCGCAGGACCACTTTCGCGATCCAACAGCTACCTACCAAGACAGACCTCTTGTCCTCCACAAGAACCATCCTTTCGCTTCAAGACGCTATCTAATGCAAATATGAAATATATGTTAGTTTGTAGTGACCCTGCTTGCTGTACCAACGGTCGCGGGTTCGAGTCCCGCTGGGGGCATCCATTTGAGCACGAATGTTTGTACTCCAGTCATGGGTGTTTAAATTTATAATATATATGTATTTAAAGTTATATATGTGTAGTGCATCAACTATCTGGTATCCATAACACCTCGTAGCCAAGCCTCGTAGATTACCATGGAACTAGATGGTGCTGTGTGTTAATGTCCCAACATATTTATTTATTGTTATAGCTGAGTGTACAGAATCGCTTTCACGTACTTTCGATTTTATACTTAAACTAAAAATGTCATCTAATATACATCCAATAATCATTACGTGTCAATGTAGGGACATCTCATAACATATTACGAAGGTGTAAGGCAGTAAAAACTTTATGTCCCACCTGAGCGCGATCGATACGACAACGACACGATAACATATCATATTCTTTTAATAGTGTATTTATAGCGTCGTATACGGCTACTTTGTATCAAGATGTTACTTAAAATATTTGAAGTTAGCTTTCCTGATATTATACCTAACAGCGACTCACCCTCGGTCCGCTCGGGTTCGTCCGTAGTTGAGGACATATGCTTCTGTTACAGCTAGGGAATGCAATCTCAAGACGAGTTCGCTAAGTTGAGATCTCGAGGGATCAGAAATTCGATCTCGGCATTTTCGAGATCTCGAATGGATTTCGAAAAGTATTGTTTTAATTAGGTAACTGAAACATGATAGAAACTGCTTAGTAGTTGCGGTTAAGATACAACATGAATTATTGAAAAAAAGTCTTTATTTTCATAATTTTTTAACTTATGTTAATGAACACAAAAATTCAGACCCGTAAAATCTCTTATAAAAGTACTTATTTTAACAAAGATAATGATAGTGAAAACATAAATTTACAAAAACTGCTATAAATGCTACTACTGCCGCTCGATTTCGGCCGAGATCTCGTCATTTTATTCTTCGAGATTGATCTCAAACAATGAGGCGAGATATTGGATGATCGGGATCTCGCGAGATCGATGTTGCATTCCCTTACCTAGTTACAGCCTACAGGAGCAATCGAGCAAAGCGAAGATAAGTCGCTACTAAAATATAAGGTCGGTACATGGTATTATTTCAATATTACAGACAGATGTTTTAATTGTTTTATATACTTAAGGTACGTATAGACTTTCTGCTACAGAATACATAATTACTTTTCGGCCGACTTCAAACGGGAGGTACTCAATTCCTCTGTATGTTATGCGATATCTTCGCCAATTTTAAATTCCATAATTGTTTTTTTAATAAATAGGTGTATAACTTCAAGGGTAGTCCCAAAATTTAAAAAAAAACCACCGCTAAGGTGAATTCATTACTTTTTTTGTTAAAAAGTATTACTGTCTTACTACATACTGAGCTATCAGTTCTTGACGCTAAAGAACGGAGAGCGGAACAGGAGGCAGTAAATAAAACCTGAAATGGTATTATAATTTAGCCGTTTATAATACCACAAGCAGTTTTATATTACTGATTACAAGGACACTCGACTCTAAAAATTAGCACTTTAAAGCTTAATATTTCGCAAACGATAGGTACCCTTAATTGGAAAATTGTTTTGACACATACGATATTTTTAAAAGACCTATTCGAAGACATCCCACACCATGGGATAGACGAGTAAAAAACATCCCACTTTACGTGTAGTTACCCTAATTTTTTTTTTTACAGCTTTCTAGTTAAGAGTCCCCGAGCTAAGCTGCGGACAGACGGACGAACATAGCGAAACGATAAGGGTTCCATTTTGACGACGGAACACCAAAAGAATCTGTACTTAAAATAATTGTTAAATAATGATTTGATTTGAAAGTTTCCACTACTATAAAATACTTGAGTATTCTTAAGTTGTTTAACCGACCGGCTTCTGAGATATCACACAATATACAATCACCAGCTCAATCAAGATAAAGCAATAAAAGACATTCTAATAACTAATCTTTATTACATAAATTACAATAGGAATGTATTAAAAAATATACTTGACTATTTTACTCTGTAAATTTCATTGTTCTGCTTCTCTCTGTTATTTATATGTAAGAAATTTCTCATGGCCTATAAAAATATTCTTATAGAAGATAAATAATATGAAAATTATAATATACAAATATTTATTTGAAACATTTTAACGAAAAACAAATATTTCACATTGTTTAACAACCAAAGAACGTTTAACACAACCCAAAGACACGGCCTCAAAATAGGGCCTAGACTCAGACTAAAGAATAATATAAACAGACAGACAGATACCAGATAGTTGACACACTATACATATATAACTTTAAATACATACATATTATAAATATAAACACCCATGAATGGAGTACAAATATTCGTGCTCATCACACAAATAAATGCCCCCAGCGGGACTCGAACTCGCGACCGCTGATACAGCAAGTACACACTACAAACTGAGCCAAACGTGTCGTAGTATTAATTGAATTGACTAAAAATACAAGACAATATAGTATTAGGCTTATAAGTTTTATTATTCATTAATGATAATTTCTTTTAAATAAATTAAATTAAAGAAATTTCACTTATACCTCTTTGTCCCCAAAGAAAGTAAACAAATATATGGCAACATTGAAATAGATATATTATACACAACACTACCATATTCGACTTCGACATATATAATATATATTTATTTTGGCGGATTTCGTCTATATAATTCTTTAGTCTTACCGGCAGTGGTAACCCAGTGGTAATGCGCTCGCTCGCATGAAGTGGGTTAAAATCCCGCGTCTCGCACCTCTGATATTCCCATGTGCTTTGTCTTACGATGAAGGAAAACGTGAGGAAACCTGCATGTATGAGAGAACCGAGCAAGTTTTCAAAAGATATGAGAAGTCCCCCCGCACTTGGCCAGCGTGGATATTACCTGATCCTCGTATTGAAAGGAACCCCACGCCCAATAGTGGGACATTAAAGAGGATTGAAAAACAATACGTTATATACATGAACGAATTAGAGACTGGACCTGACATAAAATACAAATGTATGAAAACTAGTTCAACCAAGTGACGCATAACGCACACAAAGATTTTATTACATTATTATAAACACTGATACACAATACAATATTTCTAGTGTTTGAACGTAATCGATAAAATACATATATCGATGAACCAATGAATGACATTTTAGACATTGGTTAGCATAGTCATCATATTTTACATCTTTTAATTTATTCTTCTTCTTTTAATTTTAATAAATTAAAATAAATGAATTAAAGAGGCAATAATAATGTGTCAAATAATAATTATTTTTTAATTTGATTTATAAAAATACGATGGCCTATAATAATGTTAATGAACAAATGAATATCGGGTGTATATTCCATTAATATATAATAAATATTATATTGTAAAGATTAAAAAAATATTAAGCTAATTTAATTAAATAAAGTGATTTTGTTGATTCTGTTATTGAACTATTTTAATTGGCAATTGATTGTCTCGGGTAGTTAAAAAATGTGACACTGTCCTACTATTGCTCAGTTCTTAATAAACATTTGTGAAATTAGGAAAAAGAAAAAGAGATTGCAAATTAAAGTGAGTGTTGGATCGTGAAAGTAAAATAATTAGTGCAAGTGGTAAAGTGTTTTATTACAAATCGCCAACCCAGAAGCTTAGTGCTAAAACATTATTGTTTGATTTTGCGTAATTTATGTGTTGAAATAAAATGATCTTTATTATTATTACAATGGAATAATATTCCAAAGTATATAAATGTGGAATAAAATAAAATAAAAAATTAAGTACACATACTAATTATAATTTTTGCATTTATATTTTTATTTGATTTAGAAAATATTTTTATAAATTTATTGTCATCAGATTGTAGGATACTGTGGTAAAAGTATTTTATGTTATTGTACTGTACAAATAACACAATTCGTTTAGTAATTTCGTCAAATATCGATATATTTTTCGACATTGTCAAGCACTAGTCGATGTCAAATGGACTCACTCGACAGTTTAGTCATTTGTTCTGAATGGTATAATCCAGGGATTTTATGATGGTTGTCAGATGTCAACAATACATAGAAATATCGACTATATTTAACATAGTTGGATAATATGACATTTTATTTTACATTTAATTAAATTGTGTGATAAATAACAATAAATGTTATAATATAATGTATTTACAAGTGAAAAGAAATACTGCTGCTTCCGCCGTTATAGTTTTTACATCATTTAACAGAACATTTAGTCATTTTTGGGAGATGTTTTGTTGACAAATAAGTGCTTGAGACTGACGCAAAAAACAAACGACCAAGCCTAAAATCTCCTGGTTACTGAGAAGACCGATAAAGGTACGTCCGCTTATATGTCTAGTCCAGTGGTTAATTCGTTCATGGTTATATACATATGGGTGTTTATATTTATAATATAATATGTATGTATTTAAAGTTATATATGTGTAGTGTATCAACTATCTGGTATCCATAACACAAGCCTCGTGCTTACCATGGAACTAGATGGCGTTGTGTGTTGATGTCCCAACATATATATTTATTTTATTTATTTACTCGTACATAGGGACTAATTATTTACAAATTGTTAAATACAATTTGACGTTCAGAATCAGTGAAGTGTAGTACTGCGGCTATCGCATTCAACATGTGCTTGCGACTGGCGTAATTTGCAGACAATATGTACGCCATTACCACGTTCTTTAGATATTCTAAGTTAGCACCCTCCCGTGATTGGATTCTTCGTAATCTGTGGAAATTTTTTTAGAAAATAAAATATATGGAAATTAAATTTCGATCTATTACATTTTTATTATAATATGTATATACTTTATACGATTATAAAATATTAAAATTACCTACCATCGATCAAAAAAGTACTAAATATACAATCCCAGTCAAAATTTCTCTTAAAACTGTCACCAATTGTGTTTAAGTAATTGTTATAGTTGAAATATACAACAATGTAAATTGAACCTTAAGTGCAATGCTTAATTAAAGTTGTTTTCAAAAAATAAATTAACCTAAAATCGAGCGCAAATGTTCAAATGAGCGCTCATTCGGTGCGGACATTTTTAATCGCTCATTGTGTATCTAGTACGTTTTTGATCAATATTACCTATCAATTTCTTCTTTCAATGTTCTTATTACTTCTTTGAAGCGTTCTTTGTCAATTGTCGCTTCACGTTGGCAGTCTCTGGAATAGATACAAAAATAATGGGTTTTTATATAAAACGGTCACCCATCCACAAACATATCCATTGGGAATGGTACTTAACTTTATGACAATATAGTTTCGTATGTCCTAAAAATAATATATTGTTACTAAGACTGACAAAAAACATTAAAATCAAATTTATATCAACACTAGTGGCTCACCCTCACTTCGCTCGGTTTCGCCTCTAGAAAAATAAAAACAAATCTATCCTACGGGAACCGTATATTTTTCCGGGATAAAAAGTAGCCTATACGTTATTCTGATGTATGAACTATATTATTGTAAAGTTTAATTAAAATCCATTCAGTCGTTTTTGCGTGAAAGAATAACAAACATCCATACATCTGTACATCCAGACATCCTCACTAACTTTCGTATTTATAATATTAGTAGGATAAGCGTCGATACAGAAATAATAAAATACTAAAGTGGTCTAAGCATATGAGGTCGGTTTCGTATTAAAAGAGTTCAAAAAAATTATTTTGCTGCAGTTTACTGGCTATCAATAACACTAGACCTAAAATAAAAAAATATCGGCCAAATAAATGGGGTTGGTTAAATTACTGCTTAAGGAGGCCCTATTCTTTATGCAATATAAAGATATTATATGAACACTAGCGGCTCACCCTCGCTTCGCGCGGGTTCATCCCTATAGTTTGTCCATTTTATTAATAGTTTTTTTGACAGCTCGGCGACTGACAAGTTATAGTGATATCCTAAAGGACGTAATAATCGATATCGCTTGTTTTTGTAAAAAAATATTATACATACATTACATTTATTTTCATATTTATTAATATGAAAATAAATATTATAATCGTAAAAATTTTATATACGTCAACTGGCAACATGAGCCGACCGTCCATCCGGCCGCCATTTATACCTCGAGTTGAGTAGTTTTATTCCTCGGTGCAACGTTTGGGACTGCTTACATCGGGCTGAGTACATTGATCGTGAAAATGCCGAAAGGACGTCGACTCCTCATCGGAAGACTCTAGTATAAATGATGATTCTAACGACTCATGTTAATAAAAGGAATTAAACAACAACAAAAAAATTAACACTTTCTCTTAGTATAAGACATACAAATAAAACAATTATTTTAATTGTTTTATTTGTGTCTAAGATGAAAGTAAAACTTTATATAATGTTAGTATTTTGATTTATTGGTTTCAACCTTAAAGTTTGGTCGTATTCCTGATTAAATCACATATTACCCTTATTTACATATTAGCATTTATATCTACCGATTGTTTGTAATCTGTGCCACAATCGTAGTAATCGTTATGTGTGGCCATCATCAAGGGGGCGGTACCCGTCGTTGAAGTACAATATTATTTGTATGAAATTTTAACTTAAACAATACGAAACTTCATGGGCGTGAGCTGTCAAAAAAACTAATAATAAAGTTGACAAACTATAGTATTACGTTTCACCTGTCGCCGCCGAGCAAGGAAATAAAAAAAAAGTACGTGTTATATCTAGTACGTTGGGACGGAACCCTTCGTGTGCGAGAACGACTTTTGATCGGTTTATTATTATTTTTTTCTTAAATAAATAGCTTATTGTTTTCTATAATTACCTAAATTGTCCTTCTAATATATGTTTTTCTCTTCTCAACTGCGTTATGTCCAGGTCCTTTCGAGCCAGTTCGTGTGCGTAGTGCAGCATGTGCGGAGGAGCTGAATTGTCCTAGAACGAAAAATCCATATAATCCATACTAATATTATAAATGTGAAAGTGTGTTTGTTTGTTTATTTGTCTTTCTTTCACGTCGCAACGGCTAGGCGGATTGGCGTCATTTTTTGTGTGGAGATAATTGAATGGCTGGATAGTGACATAGGCTACTTTTTGCCGCGGGAGATCATCTAATTCCCACGGGAAAACATGTTATAATATAATCCAAAAAAATATTTATGATAAGAATTACTTGAAACTTGGTAATAATACTTTTCAATACAATTAATTAAATACGTGTTTTAGCATTTTTTTTAATTCATCTCATAAGGGGGTAAAATAGCGGATGAAAGTTTGTATGAAACCAACCTTTTTAGAGTTTTTTTTTTGTAGTTTTAGCGCGAGCGAAGTCGCAGGTTCTGCTAGTAATATTATAAATGTAAAGAGTATATTTAAATGTTTTATTTGGCTGTGTCGAACGGAATATCCTTAATATTTTCTTAGATTTACGCGAACGTTTGGCATCTACACTACTATTATAAAAAGGAAAGATTTGTATTTTTTTGGTAAGAAGATAGTTTGAGACCCTGGGGAAGGACATAGCATACTTTTATCCCGGAAATCATTTCTTAGGGGGGTAAAAATGGATATGAAAGTTTGTATGGGAAATCAACCGAAGTTTTTAATAAAACTAAAAATAACATTAATTATTAAAATAAGTTCATAATCGCTAAATTTTTTTTGTGATTTAGAAATTTACGGTTTTCGGATTTTTCCCTGTACTTGAGGTATAAAATAGTGCTTCTTAACAAATTCCATGAGATATAGAACAAGGGTTCCTTTTTTTAAGATAAGGAACCCAAAAAATAATTTCAAAAATCAAAAAACTCGAGTACCTCCTCCTACTTCCTACTTTTAAATTTGATAAAAAAACTTATGAAAATATCTGTTGGTATGGAATAGACTACATAATATTATATTAATATGTATGTATATACATACATAGGTATGATGAGTTTTAAATCCCTTACTTGAGAAATTATTGATTCTCCATACAAACTTCCTCCCCCCCTTTTCACCTCCTTAAGGAATAATTTCCGGGATAAAAATTCCTATCCTATGGGTTACCCAGTATCATAAACTATCTCTATACGAAATTTCATCTAAATCTTTTCAGCGGATTAAGCGTGAAAAGGCAACAGACAGACAGATGGACCAATGGACAGACGGACGGACGAGTTAATTTCGCATCATAACATAGTATAAAACAAAGTCGCTTCCCGCTGTCTGTCTTTTCGTATGTATGCTTAGATCTTTAAAACTATGCAACGGATTTTGATACGGTTTTCCCCAATGAATAGAGTGGTTCTCGAGGAAGATTTTAGTATAAGTATAATTTGTTAAGTTTTTGTATACATTGGCTAAAATATAACGATATTTTATGGAGATGTCGGAAAAAATATGCCGTCTGTGAGCTTTCAACGAAAACGCTGCCTAAACCCTTTGAGATATAACAAAATAATGTATGGTAGAATTGTGTAGCTTATATAGGTCTACAGAAAAGTCTGCCATCTCTATCTTAAGGATAACGTACTATATCCACTTTAATCTAAAACCTACCTAGAGATGAACCCAAGCGAAGCGAGGGTGAGGCGCTACTTTATAATATTAGTATGGTATAAATACTTACATTTAACACAGTATTCTCTTTCCAACCGCCATCTTCCATACTAACTTTCCTCGACCTGTCGTTTCTCGCACGTATATAGCTATCCGTTTCCTCCAACAACGTCGCGTATCTATCCCTTTGCGTCTGCACTTGTTTTTCCAAACTTTGTATTCTAGTTTTGAGATCGGCGATTATTTCTTTATTGTAATCCTTTTCAGATTTTAATTTCTAAAAACAAAAACGTATATTTAAAAAAATATATTTTTTCACAGATTCTCTTTGATGTATTTTGTAGGATATCTCAGGAAAAAGTCAGCATCATGTCTCCAAACTTATATATTTTGACTAGATTTAGTTATAATTTATTAGAAAACATTATTTTAACAGATATACAATTAATGAATACATACATACTAACGTATACACATTATGATATTATACAGATAGACAACTGCCTCGGTGGTGTAGTGGCTAGCATGTACGGCTGCACACCCGGAGGTCCTGGGTTCGAGTCCCGGGTCGGGCCAAGTTTAGTTATTGAGTCTTCCTGTATAGTAAGTCTCAGTAACAGCCCGGAGTTGGGAAGTTGGCGGTGTTTCACCCCCGTGCCTCGGAGAGCACGTAAAGCCGTCGGTCCTGCGCCTTAATTCTCACCGGTTGTGTCTCGTATCGTCCCACCGGAGTATGAGAGTGATAGGAATAGAGAGTGCACTTGTGTCTGCGCGTACACTTGAGCACTATAATATCTCCTGCGCAGTTGGCTAATCTCATTAAGATTGGCCGCCGTGGCCGGAATCGGCTAGGAGATCATCATCATCATGGTATTATGGTATTATTAATAATATATAACAAAACACAATGTAAATGGGTTAATAAGCTAATAATATCCGCTATTACGGTATCTAAAAGGGCAAAAATAACAAAAACATACCTCTTCATATAATTTAAGCGAATCAAGCTTATCCTGTTTCTCCTCTTCTAGCATCAGTCTGTAATTCTCCATTTTCTCTCTCATCATTTCTATTTCATTTTTCAAATCATCAACATCTTCTCCACTCTCCTTCGATTTGGTATTATTTTTAAACATTTCGAATTCCATTTTCAAATTTTCAAATTCCGCTCTACATTTACTATGGGCATTTTCGTATCCGTCAATTTTGAAAACCGTTGAAATGTCTATGGGATTTCCGAGTTTTTCGTTTTCAGCTATGAGTTCCTTTTTCAAAATATGTATCTTGTCTATGAGTGTATGGAGATATTCGCTGTCTGCTAATTTTTCGTTATCTGTTTCACTTATTTGGGTTTCATCTGAAACAATCCGCCATTAAAATAATAAAGTGCTTTATTAAACAACTACTTACGCTGATGTATCTTAAAACTATTTCGTTTGTATAACACACTAGCGACGGTTTTTCCCTAGACAAAAACAAATGTATCCCACGGGAACCGTACACTTTTACGGGATAAAAAAGTCTGTGCTATTCCAGACTACAGTCTGTTTCTATGTCAAATTTCGTTCAAGCGTGAAATAGTAACATCTATCCATCCTCACAAACTTTCACATTTATAGTATTAGTATGGATATATTCTTTAACCACTTATCTCTAATTAAAGTTTGTATGTTATATTGTTTGACAGATGACCAAAGAAAGGTGTCTGGCAGTGGATGGATGCGGGCGGCGGGGGACGGTGATAGACTCATTGATTAATTTTTGTTGGGCTAGTGTTTATTAAGAATTTACTCCCTTTTTACACATTATAATTTAATATAGTTTTAATAATTTCACTTTACCGATCAATCTCCCTCATGTCTTCTGCATTATATATGACATTGGCGAGGTAATCTGTGCTGAACTGGCACGCTTCGAAGCCATTAACAAAAGAATTAAAAATTAGTATTATATACGTCATTTCACTTTTTAGCTTAGCTTAACCTATTTTAATAAAATTTGGTAAGCAAATAGTTTGAGACTCTGGGAAGGACATAGGATACTTATATATATATATATATATATATATATATATATATATATATATATATATATGCATAAACAAAATCGGGTTTGTAACAACACTTATAACTCGAGAGCCGCTAGACCGACTTTTATGATCTTTGTTTTGTTGGATTTGTCTCTGCCTCGAATAGCAGAATAACTTGTACCGACAAGTTAGCCACTAGTCGGTACATCTCTATAATATCAATAATAATATTAATTAACGCTACAATATACAACTCCTTACCATTCCCACTAGTGGCCATCTTATTCAACAAGCTGCCATTCAACGAGTCTCTCAACTGCTGTATAGTCTGCTGATCTCTTCTCTTCATCAGGTCATATTCTCCTATGGTCTGCGACAACTCAGCTAACTTTCCTTCTAGCAGCGCCACTCTCTCTTCTTGGCGTGCACAGATCTTGCGAGCTGATTCTTCTGCACGTTTCGCTTTTATTTGCTCCTTTAAATATTTTGAAATTTTACGATTTGTTTGTATGTTTATCTGTATGAGATGTATATATTATGTGGATTTTTCAAATGGACGCAAATGGGAACATTTAATAGCAAAACTATTAACTAACTCATTTAAAACTTTATTTATTTACTTCACAAAGATTAGCACAAAAGTAATAGACACGTATTATATTTATTTAAAATGTAATATGTATGTATAATATATATGTAACATTAGATGACCTAAATCTAAACAAAAAAAAACAGACAAACAGACACTTAAGTGGTATTGTATTCAAGCCTTTTTAACATCTCACTGCTGGGGGTAGGCCTCCCTTCAATAGGAGGGGGATCAGGCCGTAGTCCACACGCTGGCCAAGTGCGACTGGAACGAAGGACTTCACATGTCTTTCGAATAGTTGCTAGATTCTCTCATACATGCAGGTTTCCTTCGCCGTAAGACAAGTGGTAATCATGTTGAAAATGATTCGCACATAAAAATATCAGAAGTACGAGACCCGGGATTTGAACTCGCTTTATTTGGTTTCCAAGGCGAGCGTGTTATCACTGAACTACCACTACCTTTATTAATATTAACACAACAAAAAAAACAGTATTCGGACAAACCTCCCTAATCGCGATCGAGTGGGATTGCTCCAGAAGCGCCAACTTCTGCTGCAATCGCACCAACAGCGCGGGAGTTTCAACACTACGCGATTCAGCCCTTTGGAGTTTCCTTTGAGACGCTTCCAATGAACTGTTTAAATCTCGCACTCTCTTCTCGAGTTCTGTTCGGGACGCTGGAAATTATATAAAGTAAGTAGGTAAAAGTAGGGTACTTTATAAAAAAAATATATCCCCAACTTGATAAATGTTTGATTTATCCCATACAAATTTCCACCCCCCCTTTTCACCCCCTTAAAGAATGATTTCCGGGATACAAATATCCTATATCCTTCCCAGGGTCTCAAACCATCTCCATAATAAATTTCATCTAAATGGGTTTAGCGGATTAAGCGTGAAAAGGTAACAAACAGACAGATAGACAAAGTTACTTTCGCATTTATTATACTTATATATAGTGATTCACCCTCTCTTCACTTCGTGTTCATCCCTAAACAAAAACAAAATCTATCCCATGGGGACCGTACACTTTACCGGGATAAATAGTAACCTATGAGCCATTCCAGACTATAATCTATCTCTGTGCCAAATTTCACCCAGACCCGTTCAGCCGTTCAGGCGTGAAAGAGTAACAAATAAACATCCCTCCATCCATCCTCATAAGCTTTCAAATTTATAATATTAGTAGGATTAGTATCCATTATTTAGTAACTTATGTGTTACTCCAGGTCATGATCTATTTAATAAGCATCCAAATCCCCATTCAGATGTCTCATTTTGAAGCAGTAACATACACAGACACTTTTGCTCATAAAATAGTAATACGATCATCGATCGAAAAGTACTAGATAGTCAGGGACAAAAAATGTATTCACCAAAAATGACAACAAAACAACAATAATTACCAAAATACAATTGGTGACAGTTTCAAGAGAACTTTTGTATGGGATTGTGTATCTAGTAATTTATTGATCGATGGATCCGATGACCATTTAAGTTTTAGTCTTAAAAGTTGTTAATATACACTACTTCAAATCACAAAAAAATATATTTCATTTGTTAGATTAAATCTAGTATATAAAAATATAAAACATAAAAATCAATGCATAAATATAAAATAGGTGAAAATATCAAGTAACATACAGACAAAAAAACATTTTATTATAACATTTTCAGATTTTTTTTTATTTTATATTCATTTTTATTTTATTCTTAAATATTTTAAACTCACCCTGAGCCTCTGAATTATGAACCACTTTATCTTCTAATTTCTCCTTGGTCTTTCTTTCACTATTTAATTTCACATGTAGTTCCCTAAAAGAAATGAGAATAAAATATTTTAGGACATTAACATACAACGCCATCTAGTTCCATGGTAAGCTACAAGGCTTGTGTTATGATTACCAGATAGTTGATACACTACACATATATAACTTTAAGTATGTATACATATTATAAATATAAACACCCATGACTGGAATACAAACATTTGTGCTCATCACATAAATGAATGCCCCCAGCGGGACTCGAACCCACGACCGCTGGCACAGTAAGTAACCCTACTACTACTACAAACTGAGCCAAACGTGTCGTCAACAACAAAAAAAATGTTATCATTATATGTACAAAAATATTTTCTTAGAGAAATTATTTCAAACCAAAGATAATCACTAAGGAAAGATTTTAAGTTTTAATTAAGTAACATAGAGTATAACTCGCGTCATCTAAAAAGAACGCTGGAAGAAAGTGGAGAGGGTATGTTTGCGCATGGGTATACTCGCGCACAAAAGTACTAAGCCTATTATTTTATTTTTCATAGCTTTTCGCTCGCGGCTTCATATATTAGTTATTGGTAGGGACATTGAAAAATATATTAGATTATTAAAATATGTTTGATTCAGTGCAGAATGTTTAATCTACTTACAGAAAATTAAATTAATACGTTTAATATATATTTTTTTCATTATTAACTGCATTATTATTAGACTCTCTCTTTGTAAAACAATATACGTCAAAAACAATTTTTCTCTTTTCTATATATAAAACCATTTCGTAATTAAAAACTTTTGTGTGCGCGATGGTATTTCGAGCTGACGAACCAATAGCGCGCCGGCAAGCATGCGGCGCGTGCCCCGCTGCCCCGAGCCGCCCCGCGCCCCACTTCTTACCACCAATTTGACCGATAAATCGCTTCTGCGCAGCTTGACAGCCAGCGTTCTTTTTAGATGTCGCGAGATAAGTAGGTATATGTTTTTTGTCATGACATTATAGTGTTGAGGTCAAGTTATTGGTAAACTTTATACCTATTTCAAAAAGCTTGTTATCTTGTAATCTCGTGTGCAGTTAGTTATTGAATATAATGCGATCAAATCTTGTTTTTTTTTTATGCCATGATGAAATTGAAGTTGAAGAATGTGTTAAATTTAAATTAATGGTTCACATTTGACTTTAAAAAATTTACTCAAAAGAAGCCAATCCAGAAGCATATAAAGAATTGTAAAATCTATCAGACAATTCAATGTAGTTGATCCATGTTGTTTCTTATACCTTATACTTGGCATGTTACCAATGCATTAACAACGATAAAAAAATAGTTTTTCTTTACATTTGTGTCAAATTAAAAAAAAAAATATCTTAAACCAATTATAATATATTAGTCTATACATATACATACATAATATTGTGTACAGAATATTGACCCCAAAACAATAGTTATAAATTTTTTTGTCTGTATGTCTGTTTATGTTTACGTTTCATGCAACTGAACCAAACTGAATAAAACAAATATAAAGCACTTATGTTATTAAAAACTTTCTACTTACTTTAACATTGCCGCATAATCAGCTCTTTCTTTCTCTCTTTCTTGTATTTCATAAGCAATTTTAGCTCTTAAGTTAGCAATTTCTGCTACATGATTTTGTACTAATGACTTTGTTTCTTCTCGCATAGAAGCTAACATACCCTCATACTGAAAAAAAAAAATTTTCTGTTATTAATCACTAGCAACTCACCCTTGCTTCGCTCAAGTTCGTCCCTAGGTTGGATCCAAATACAAACTTTCATCCCCATTTTCATCCCCTTAAGGGATGATTTCCGGGATAAATACTATCCTTTCCAGGGTCTCAAACTATCTTCTTACCAAATTTCATCTAAATCAGTTCAGTAGTTTTGGAGCCTATTCCGTACAATCAAACAAACTTTCCTCTTTATAATATTAGTATTGATTATTATGGATGGATTTATCATGTTTAGTCATATTCTGTTATACTGATTTGTATTATACAAATGTATATTACCTAATAATGATTCTATATGTTTATTTCATATTGAATTATTAAAATGTAACTATTTATAAAAATTTGATCTATGTATGGAAATTATAATAGGATAATATAATGATTTAAATAGTATCATGATATAATGTAAGGATTTATTATGATTTAGGTGAAAACATTGTATTTTTTGTATTTCTTGAAAACATGCTTTATTTACATATCAATACATCATAGAATTAGATAATACATTACTATGTTTTTTTTCAGTCAAATATTGTGGTAAATCAGTGGTTAAATCAGTCTTTCAGACTATGAGCAGATGAGATGGTTCGGATGGCATGTTGGGCGCTACTCCCAGTGGAGTCAATACATTACTACATATATATGTAATAAATTACATATAATAAAATTGTAACTAAGTCGAATCTGTACATTAAATATTTTTTTGGAAAATCTAATTGAAATAGACATTATTATCGATACAGAGTCCAAATCTATAGTTATTTTTATTTGTCTGTCTGTATGTCTATACAAAAACTGCATTGTAAGAGTATTCTTATATGTAAATCCTAAAAATTTGGTTTTTGGTCATCTGAACGTGGGCAGACCCGCGGACAATGCTAGTGTATATAGATGCTATGCAAATGCTAGTAAATAATAAATACAATCTTAATGATTTAGAGTCAGATTTTTTGTCAGACGTAAAGTTAGATCATAGAGGTATTGATGTATAAAAAATGTATAATAATTTGTTTATAAAGTTTAAATAATTTAATTAATACCTTTTCTCTGGTAACTTTTTTATCAGCTTGAAAAGCCTCTTCCATGCGAGTCTTCTCAGCAGTTAAAGTTGATAGAGATAAAGTCAAAGCTGCTATGGAGTCTTGTGATGCTAAAGTAATAGAGCCAAATACAGTTATTTCTCTTTTAAACAAACAAATACTTCATGCTTACTAAGTATATGCTGGAATAAAGTTATGTTCAAACCAAGCCAAAATATGAAACTTCATCAAAATTATTATACTAAAACAAGTTAATTTTTTTTTTAATTTTCAAACAGAAATAAATTAATAGCAATAGGTACTTTCATAATAAATTTGAAACACCTACCTTCCACATTGACGTCTGTTCTAGATAATGCCTTTATACTAATGTCTAAGGCTTCTTTTTCTTTTACAAGACCCTTATATGCAGCAACAACATCTATAAAATCCAAAAGAAACTTTGACATTTTTTTACTTTATTATTTAAAATGATAAATAATAAATTTTAACAAAATAAATTTAGTAATCTACTTTGAACTCATTTTCAACCATATGTTTGAAAAACTCAAACTTACAAGTATATTAGAGAATGTTTTACCTCTTAGACGTCCTTCATATCGTTTTATTTGATCTGCTTGTTTAGTTATTGTTGAAATTAATTCTTGTTTTGATAAAGATTCCATAATATATAATTCTCAGCTGACTTCACTTTGATATCATTACCATCATCCAAAACTTTACTCTTTGCTACAGTGTTTCAAATACCCAGTATTATTTTTTTACTTTATAGAATTAAAATTAAAAAAAGATTTTTATTATATAAATCACTGCTTTTAGGTTTGTTACTTAATTTTGGATAAATAAACAAAATAATATGTAGATACTCAAGATAGACTTATGCCTGTGCCCTGTGACAATTTGTTATTTGACAAATGACAAAGTCAAAAATCTAAATATCGCGTCCTCTGTCTAAAATCAAAATGTCATTTCATCATTCGGTGACATTTTAAATTAAAAAAAATATGTTTGTCAAAGGGAGAAGTTTAATCTGCATGTAAATAAAACCTTGAAAATAGGTAACCCATTAAATAATTCCACTTTGTTGAACGTTATTGTTTAAAAACATTATATTTAATTATATAAAACACCGAGGCAAAACCATTATCTCATATTAAAGCACTTTTACAGGCCGTGGGCTAAAATGCAGCATTTTGTTCTTTATCACAATATATAGATGAATATCTATAATCTATATAAATTATATAGATGAATAAAAAAGAAACACTAACTCATAACGCTAACACACCTCCTAGTTTTATTCTAGTTCGCAAAATTTCAAGGACAAAATCTAGTTCTTCTTTCAATTTGGCATAAAATTGTATTTGTTACTTATATTTCTAATTATATAATCTATGTAAATAGATTTGTTGCTTGCTTTACTTTTCATGAGAGATTTAAAGCACTAAAGAATCTTTACCAGCTGAGAGAAAATGTTTGATTAGTTTATTACTACAGTAACTCTTAATATAATAATTTTTGATAAGAACTAACGACTTAAAATGGCTGTATCGTTTGCAACGGTTTCTTTCGACTGACCGCTACAGGACCAACTTTACATTCATTATAATGATTATAATTTATTTATTTATTTAAATAGGAAGCCAACGTTGTATACAATAATATTTATTATTCTAGAGCACACTCTTATGTATCTGTGATAGAAATTGTAGATATAATTTCAAGAATATCTTCTATCTATACATATACTTAATAAAATTCTAAGTGATTCGAATCTGTACCTTCAATTTTTTTTTGGAAAATCTTATTGAAATAGTCATTATTATCGATACAGAGGCCGAATCTATCATTTTTAGAATTTTTGTCTGTCTGTGACCGCATCACGAGAAAACCGCTGGACAGATTTTGATGAAATTTGGTATGAGGATATTCAGGTCAACATACAAGATTTTTTACTTTTTACTGCGGGAAAATCTCTCATTTCTGAGAAATCTAAACTAAACGTTAAAACGTAACTAGGGACGAGCCCAAGCGGAGCGTGGGTGAGTTGCTAGTACACATATAATATTTAATGTATGAGTCAAATGTAAATTATAGGTAATATCCGATATATTGCACCAGAATACCTATTGGATTCCACATATAAAATATTATGAAATTATATTCGAGTATATTAGACGTGGTACTTTTAGACGTAATAAAAATCTTTAATCCCTACTTTATGCCTCTTAATATTAAGTAGGTAAGTTTTAATATTTATTATAAACTAGCAACTCAGCCTCGCTTCGCTCGGGTTCGTCCTTAGGTACGTTTTAGCGGATAACATGGAATAGATATATATACATACATTATTATAATGTAAAGGAAGAAGAAAAATGTGATTTTTACATTTTTCGTCAAATTTTTCCAATTCATAAGGTAGTTTTTTTACGAACCTTTCTCGGACTTCAATGAATATTTTTAGAAAAATTAGCCGAATTGTTTCAGCCGTCTCGAGTTTTTGCTCTTAGCAACACATTTAGCCATTAATTTTTTATGTAAAAGATTTATAAATGTAAAATGTATGGACGTTGGTAAAGCGAATCCATTTAATTAAAATAATATTGCTAATTGAAGCCAGTATTCAAAGTAAACAAATATTTGATTTTAAATAAGCTTACTTTAAATACTGGCGTGTTATTTGAATTTCAAAGATTTTATTTTTTAACAAATTAATAGTAAATGGCCTAGTATAAGGTTCTTAGGGGTCGTCCATTAATTACATGATATTTTTAGCAACTTTTTAGCTTCCTTCTCTCCCCTGGTGATATGTGGTGAAGTTTTAGACTATCTCACTACACCCCTCTCCCCCCTTGTGATGTTTCATGATTTTTTCTGAACTACCCCCTCTCCTCTTTCGAACCTCACGTGATTGATACATTGGCGTTTTGTCGAACTGGTTTGATCTCAAATATCTGGCGTTTGGTTAAAAATTCCAAATTCAGGCTTGTATATTTGCGTTTCGAATTAAGTGATTAATTTGGTTTCTAGCCATTTGATTTTTCTTTGACATCGTTCTGTTCATAATATGGAAACTGTGGCACCACTGCAGTAACAGCACGAAGGATTAATGATGTGTATGGGGAAGCTACTGTAAAAGAAAACATGATACGTTTTTGGTTCTAACGTTTTCGTTTTGGAAATTTTGGCCTACAGATCAAACTCCGTGGACGGCCAGATACCCTAGTTGGCAATGAAGAACTAAAAGTGATATACAACACATAAAACAATTTGATTCACTTGAAACAAATTGGAAAAGAGAAAAAGAACGAAAAATGGGTATCTACCGCATGAATTGAGTGAAGCACACCAACAAACACGCGTCGAGTGCTGCATAACATAAGTCAACCATCATAATAACGAGGGGATTTTGAATCGTGTCGTTACTTGTGATGAAAAATGGATTCTGTACGAACATTGGTAACGCTCATCACAATGGTTGAACCTGCAGGAGCACCGGCCAAATCTTGCCCCAAGCGAAAGTTGACTCAGATAAAGGTAGGTGGTAAGTGTCTGGTGGGCCAATGTTGGTGTCACCCACTACAGCTTCTTAAGATCTGACCAGATGATTATTGCAGATCTGTATTGTCAACAATTGCAAACCGTGATGGAAAAGCTAGTCGTTAAACAACCGAGACTGGTCAATTACTCTAGCCCACTGCTGCTTAAGGACAACGCAAGACCACACACTGCACAACAGACGGTCGCTATATTAGAGGAGCTGCGATTAGAATGTCTCCGACACCCACAATACTCTCCGGAGCATTCTCCAACAGATTGCCACTTTTTTCTGGAATTCGGACAATTTCTTGCAAGGAAAAAAAATCAGTCTCGATGAGGTAGTCAAAACCGCTTTCAGAGATTTTATTGATTCTCGCTCCCACAATTTTTTCAGCTAAGGAATTAATGAATTACCTATAAAATAGTGAAAGTGCATAGATAATAATAGCACATACTTGCCAAAATAGATGACGCATTTTTGTTGCGTCCATACGAGTTAAGTTTAGATGAGGGTGCGTTTTCATTTTGTTAAAAGGATTTTATTATTACTTTTTACGTTATCGCTAAGTAGTAGATAAAACTCGTACTTGGACACCATTGCAATATTTTAATGCAAAATTTGACCTACTTTCTCGTTCAGATGCAAGGGTGACTTAAATTTACAATTTTGGGCAACCCCTATCTATTGCGGCGTAGATAGAGTTCAATGAACTTGAATAAGGGTGACATGGCTACATTCAACCCTCATAGAAACGTAAAAATTGCCTGCCAAATCTATTTTGCTCCCTAATTCTTTGGTTGCGTTCTTTGCTTTAAATCAATATCTATACTTATAAAACCATGGCAACTTTTAAAAAAAAACTACAAACTGTAGCAAAAAAATTAGAATTTGTACCGAATTTCTCTTACAATGCAGTTTCTGTATTTTTACTCAGAAATGAGATATTTTCTTGCGGTGAAAAGTATCCTATATGTTGACCCGGATAACCAGCTATCACCATACCAAATTTTAATAAAAATCCCTCCAGTGGTTTTTCCGTGATGCGGTAACAGTCAGACAGACAAAAATTCTAAAAACTATAGATTCGGCCTCTATATCGATAATAATGTATATTTCAAAAAGATTTTCCAAATAAATATTTAATGTACAGATTCGGCTTACAGTTTTATTATATGTATAGATGTTTTAACGTTACTTATAAAAATGACTGGCACAAATTACCTGCACTCAATGAATGTACTCGTAAGAATTCTGACATCCGTTTTCTCACGACTGCATACTTACAGACCAGTCGTTTTAATACTAATAATTTCACATGACATTATTGAACACATATTGCTTAGATTGTAAATCAAAACAAAGTATGTACCTATATAAAAAAAAAACAAAATTGAACTGTAAACAATGTTTGTATTAGTAGTTTTTCAAAGCAGCAAAACTGTTTTAGTAGTAGCTAGCTATTTACAAGATATAATCATTTTTATTTTTTAGTTAGTTGTGTAAGTACCTATTTAAGAATTTGTTTAAAATTAAATAAAAATATTCTGAATATATTATGTCGTACAAATTTACTCGATAATTATGCGTATTAGAACGAGGGTATTATAAAAGGATAAATAAAAGAATATTTTAGTACATTATTGCTAATGTCGATATTTAATGTCTATATCATTATTCCCTACTCAGATTACATTCGTTGACATTTCAAGATTAATGTATGTAAGCCAAACATTTCAACACATTGTCGGCGATTTGTACTCTGTCTTACATGTCTATCTACGTCCTAGGCCAAACCTTACGTTACCCAAACCTGCCCAGAAAAAAAATTAAACAAAATTTATTATTAGGATAAATAAACACTTAAAATTGAATGTTAGTCATTAACTGATATTACACTAAACACAAATAAATAGCACAAAAAGAGAAAAAAAAGAAAAACAATAAATGGGACAGGTGCGTTTTTACGCAATTGCCGTCAAAAGTGGTGACATATTTGTTTCAAGATGGCGATAAAACGATTCTGGCGTGAACACTGAACATTCATAACGCTGTGCTCCAATCAATTGAAAGCTTGTTTCCAGTCAAGGACAACACAACAAAAACTATGCTATCATTTTTAAGTTTCATTGTCCTAAATATTTTGGGTGATCATTTTTCACATGCTCTTTGCAATATAAAGATAAAAAGAATATGTCATATATTTCATACACTAATTAGGTTGCAACGTCATTTCTATAAAAAATATTTTGTTTACAAAGAACAATGACCTAAGTATAATAACCAAATGAACGAAACGCTATTCATTTGATAAGCAAAAACGAAAAACGGTATTTTTAAGATATTAAAAACGGTACATTATCCAAAGTAATACCATCCAAAATATTTGGAACATCTATTGTGAGGTAAATTTTATTATACCTGTGACTAGTTTTGTACACACCATTCGTTATAATTTTCGTGTGCATCGTATATACTTATTTTTTAAAACACCACACTAACATAATTTTAAACCAAATCCTAAACTACATTTAAATTACAGAACACAGTGTCATTTAAATACTTAAGGTACTTAAATTTAACGTTGCGCAAATTATAACTGACTAGTTCAATGAAGTTAAGTACTTTCAATAAATAATTAATCTTAATGAAACATTTATCCTTAACAGTATTAAACCTAATTGCACCGCCACGTTGCCTATCCGTTTGCGGTAAAAAATTATGAAAAAAATATCGATTATTCTATCAGCCAGTGTCTCAAATAGCGACAGTGGCTTGGATCGGGCTGGGTCGGATCAGGCAACGTGGTGCATGCGCCTTTATAGAAATTAACTTATTACAAAATGCATAATACAAGCCCCATTCAATTATTATGAGAGTATCTGAACTTAGCAGCACTTCTGATATGCGTCATTTATCTAGAAATAATTTAGCTATGACGAAAAATCTACTAAACATGAATAGTATATAATAAACAATGAGAAAGGTATAAGGTTGTATTACTGGTTACTTTATGCAGAACTAATTTTGAACTTACACTAATACAATATATTATTACAACATCAAAAGAAATCTATAATAGTACTATTTACTATAATAAATTATTAATTATACATTACTTAAATGTAATAATAAATAGCGATTATACAATCAAATGAATTAGAGAGACAATATCAAGTCAAAGTTACAATAACGTAGTGCAGATCATCGATTTCCATACATTGTAGTTTTTCAGTTAACTAGATTGCTCATATCCACCACTGCTTTTTGCGAAATTTTTTACGGATTTATTTCACAAAATTCAGCAATCCGACGTTCAAAGATCTACAATATATGGAAACGACGGTTTGCACTAACTCTACAGTTATAGAGTCTTACATTATATTTAGATATCAGTAATGAATAGTGGAATATAGTCCATCACGGCTTCTAATTATAATTAAGACTAGAGACGAGCGATTATGCATGAGCACTATTATCTACTCGGATATTTTCAAGATCGAATTTGAATTGGTAATTTAATCGAGTATTCTTAAATTATAGTACAAAATCGTTTTGCAGAATCATATTAACTATTATGTGGTTTAGAGCCCAATTTACTGGCTACATCGACTTAGGTATTTTATCTTAGATAATTATCATAATATTCGATCTTATGTCATACAGAATTGCCCGACTCTATTACCACTATGCTAGAAGGATTACCAGATGTTGCTTGAAGCAAAAATTCGAGATGGTCTCCTCCATATACTTTAAACTTGACCCCTAATATAAACATACAAATGTGCAAATAGAATGCGTCATATTCAAGATTACAAAATTTCCTTCCATAAAATGTTGATCAATTAAAATTTTACGTCATGGTCCTTCATAATTTCGATTTTTTATGAGAATTCAATTAGTCAAAAGCAAACATTTTTCATCCATAGAAGAAAAAAGTCAATATATTTAATTACATAACATTAAATGGCTATGATAATTATTTAAATATTAGGAATTTAATAATTCTAAAAGCTACGGCACATTGTAGATTTTATCGGCCGATCGAAAGGACGTTTTGGCGATCGTTCCTATATTACGCACATAAAGATGCGTAGGTCCGTTTACGAACCGGCAGCTAATACTCAAAATGGCGATCCAAATGCCAATAAATAGAAAAAATCTTAAACAGCCGATAAAAGTCTGCAATGGCGGTGGCTGTATGATTTTGTGCATGCGTCAAGCTCCTGAATATAATTAATCGTCATTAATAATGATAGATCCTTACTTTTTAATTACAAAATATAGAAGCTTCTATGGAAGTTAAAATATGGTATGCATGATTAATCTAATGATTAAATCAGTCATTTTTGACATCTTTGGTAGACTAAAACACATTCGGTGTACATTTCTTTTATATATTTATTTATTGCTGAAATACTATTTCCATGTATAAATAGATGTATATAATTGCACTGTTTTCATAATATATATTTTTATAATATATTTTTTTACTTATAGTAAAATTTATATTGCACTGGTATCTGTAAAAATAAATAAACCTTTTGAATGATCATTGAATAATTTCAATTTTGTTTGTTAAAATTAAAAAATATGGACAACTTATCTGATGTTTGTATTTCAGTTGTTTGAATTGTTCTTATTAGAATTACACCTTATAATTCTGGCATAGCCGGCTAATACTAGCCAACAAACATCAGAATCAGTCACAATGTAATATTACCCATATATTTGACTATGCAAATAGTCTTTTGTCAATTATTTAAAATTTATTTATACAAAAAAATTGGATTTTATCAAATTTTTGTGTTATAGTCATATATTTTATTTTCTTTAGAAAGCTCAGAAATAATATTATAAAACCAATTTTCAGGAAGTGGAATTTGCTGTTGAATAATTTAAGTCAGGTTGTTTATATAATTGCCTTACATATTGTGATGTTGCTTATATCTGTGACAGTTTGTACTTTCATTATGAACACTGGTTCTGACAGGGTATTTGACTTATATTTGGGAATAATATTTAAAAAAAAAATATTTTGTATATAAATTAAATAATCTAAGGCTTAGTTAGGACTTAAAAACTGTCTTTAACATATTATGAACTTATGATGCTAAAGACGTTATAATTCGCTATTAATATTATATTCCTAAGAGACAATAAATTAAATTATGTGTCAAATACCCAATTAGTGTATGGTCATGTCGTAATTTGCATCACTATTTCCTATAATTAATCAAACTGATGTCAAACCACGACAGAGTTTAAGATCAACATTTCGCATTAACTACAATTTATTGACTAGAACCTCATGAGCTTAGGATTTACTTTTATTGGTTTTGAAGCTGACTTGCAGTACTTGTCCATTGAGGGAGTACCCATTCAAAGACTGAATGGCCACAACAGCTTCATCATAATTTGTCATAGTTACAAAACCATACCCTTTACACTTGTTGGTTGTGGGATCTCTGATGATTTTAACACTCTGGACGGCACCAAATGGGCCAAATAACTGCCAAAGCACGCTTTCCTCTGTGTCAGCTCCTATATTATACACAAAGATACACCAACCTGAACCTCCTAAAGCATTGCCTTGGACGAGAGGGTCAGCAAGAGGAGAATACCGTTGAAGACCTTTGTTAATAGCAAGCAGTGCCTTACCAGCTGGACCCAGGAATCGGCGAACTGTTGGAGGGGCTAAGTATGTAGCTAATGGAGCTAATGCCTTATTCTGGTTGCTTGGGTTATTTGCACATTTCACTGTCATAGGCCCTGTACCACCTGGTGGTATAGTGCCATTCAATTCACGTATAGCTGTTTCAGCTTCGATTCTCTGATCATATCTTATAAAGGCTACACCTCTTGAAGGCCCTTGGAGTCCTCCATCATCCATGCTGCCTTGCAGTAAATGACCCACATTTACATTTTCATGTAAGATTCTTGAGCTGATTATGGTGCCATATGGGCTGAACAGCTTCTCCAAGTCTTGCTGCGTCATGTGTTTAGGGAGTCCAGACACATAGAGATTTGCACCTTTAATGGCATCGGAGCTAGGACGGGCATAAGATACTTTAATAATTTTATTTTGTAATCTGAGACCATTCAATGTGTTCACTGCTTTCTCTGCATCTTCTGCCTTATGATAATTAACAAATGCATACCCCAAGCTCTGCCCATTCAGGATGTGGTCGGGAAAAACCGTCACCTTGTCTCTTATTAATTTGCAACTCTCCACTTCACCTACACTTGAAAACAGTGATCTTATTTCTTCTTGAGTCATTGTTTGTGGTAAGTAGTTTACTATGAGATTAGTTTTAGATTCATTGTTGCATGGTTGTACTTTACTACCATTTTGCGTAGGCTGATTCGCGTTTACGGCATCAAGTGTATTTGCCATCATTTTTACTGATTTTCTTTCACCGAACTTATAGATAATTCACCAAAGTTGTATTAAAAGACTTAAAAGTGAGAAATCTGAGTTGGCCCACAGATTTCTCACACCTAGTATGAACTTCAGCTCGCGTTGGTTGAAAGCATATGCAAGGCAAGAAAATCAATAAGATGCTGATCACTCCCGTACTTATCCCGTTTTAGGCGGTACAATGCCAAGTCCGTTGAATCAAAACGTAAGCAAAAACACAAATAAATGCGAGTTTCTTAGATATTATAGAAAATACTAACGTAAAGTGAAAAGGAAATCAACCAAAAATCTATGCGACTTGCGACCTATTCTCGTAAATTCATTTCTTTCACTTCACTTTCTTTTTAAAATGTTACCACTATAAAAATGTAATTAATACTTAATGTACGAAAATTGCAATAAAATATTTTTATTTACATATGTACACGATAAAAGTTATCTTATTGTATTATAAATTAACCAAACTTTGTTTTATTAAATAAAGTTAAATTACAAGGACATTTTAAAAATAATCTTACATCTATTACATTTGTTAATATTAAATATGTATTAGAACAACTTCTTATCACAGGGTTTTTTATTGAATACATACTCAAATTGTCTATTTATGAGAACTAAACTAAAGAAATATGATTCTTGATATATAAATACTACAATCATAGAAAAAAACAGTGAGTAAAACAATCATAATTGGTTAAAATTGGGAATTGTACTTAATAAATGACTATGAAATAAAATCAGCCTAAATTAGAAAGATTTGTAAAACACTAAAGATAAATTATATAGTAATAAATATTAAAAATAAATTGTTGTTCCTAATTGATAGTTTTAAACTGAATGCACACTCCTTTGGATAGTGAAAATATATATAATATTTTAAATTACGACTAAAAATAAAAGAATATAATATTATTATAATATTAATACAAGGGTAAATTTCTTTAAATGGCAACATTGATACAATGCTACCACTTTATATTCTGCCAACACTACAATTACTATATTATGCATTTACAAAGAACGCTTAAAAAGAGATCCAAATAAAGCGAGAGAATTTGGTTCTGAATAAATAGGTAATTAATATTATTGTTTATCCAAAAATAATTATCTTATTTTTTTATTGAGTATAAATATTTGTTTTTATTTATTGAAATTTAATCCAAATTATATTGCTATTTTTTGTGAGTTATTACTACTAAAAAAATATTTACTTTACTATAAATTGCTATTTACTAGTCTTTGAATTTTAAATTGTCAACAAACACAATAAGTGATAAAAACACTAAAATTGAATTGAAAAAATATGATAAACAAATTTCTCGTTACGTTGCTTGCTTGGACATTTTTGGCAGCTTATAATAATAAATAAATATATTACTATAAAAATACATACCTACATACGAATATGTACTTACATCTTGCGGCTAGGATGAAACGTGTATGTCTGCGACTGCATAATATTCCTTCGTGAATTTGTTTTCATCTTTATAGTTAGCTTTTATGCAGTCGGATTTTTTATTTTTATAATATATTTATTTACAGCTTTTTAAGTATTTTTAAGTAGTTAAATTAGCGATAATGGTTGTTAACCAAATTTAAAACATTTATGTACCTATCCTAAACTGTTATTTAAAATGAAAAATGGTAAAAGAAACCTTATAATGATTTTTAAAAACCTATTCAACTCAACGATACCCCACTTGGTATAGTTCGTCGATTTTCATTTTTTTCATTTTCATATTATGGAATCTAGCGGCCCCCATATTTATTTATTTTTATGTCACCTACTCGGATTAATGAGACAAATCTAACGACACATTAATTAAAGAAATCCATCGAGTGGTTTGCTTTCCTTGCAGTCGAGTAAAAACTAAACGATTGTTATTATAAAAAAATATATTCTAAGAAATGATTATTTAAGATTTCAACAGTTAGACCTAGGTGACTTCAATAATTATAGTTTATAAATATGTATAAGCGTATGAAGTTCTAATTGAAAGATGCGAGTGCACCACTTGTCTCCTTGACACCATAATCTAACCTACCTAACTCTGGAGTCTGGGTCTATTTAGCTTAGGTTTTCACAATTATTATTTATTATATCGTAAAAAGCGACTCACCCTCGCCTTGCTTCGGGTTTGTCCCAGGACAAAAACAAATATATCTCACGGGAACCGTATATTTTTCGGGATAAAAAGTAAACTACGTGTTATTAGTTATTACAGACTATATTATATCTCTGTGCCTTTCATCCAGATTCATTCAGCCGTTCTGGCGTGAAAGAGTAATAATCAGCCATCCATCCTCACAAACTTTCACATTTATAATATTAGTATGGATATAAATACTAATCTAAGGCATACATTAGGAACTTGTACAGTGAGTAGAGCGTAAACAGCAGCAGACGCACCCACCACCCTCACTCTGGGCTGGAAGGCGCTCGCACCCAACGAGCCGACGGCGAAGCCACCTACCCAGATGATGGCAACACGAAACCTGCTCCCGTTCGAGGCGCCATCCCACTTGTATACATAAGAAATAAATAGAAATAACTCTATATTACATCTCTTTACAATTTTCGACTAAATCTGTATTTGTGGTATTGAAGACTTTAACCCAACATACAGTAAAATCGGGTTATTGAGTTAAAACTTTCCACAAGGGGTGGGATAAAAGAAATAGTTTCGTAGGTATAGCCCATAAGCATATTTGAAGTATTCAAATATTAAAACTTACATCTACAAAATAGACCGTAATATTGATTGAAACATTAACCTTTATATATTTTAGTGATAAAACTAAGTATAATTTGTTTAATACAAATAGAGTCAATTAGCAAAAAAATATAATCCTCTTAAAATATAAATAGATTACATCTTTGTTGTCTGAAAAGCTCGTTTAAAGGGGCGTAGGTAGGCGTTGAGAGATAGACGTACCTGCCATAAACAAAATTTATAAAATTTGAAAGTTTTTATTTCAAAAATAAATTAGTGAAAGATACTTGAGTTGGATCACAAGATAATAAATAATAAATATATTGGGACATGAACTCACAGAACCATCTATGTAGTTCCATGGTAAGCTACGAGGCTTGTGTTATGGATACCAGGTAGTTGATGCACTACACATATATAACTTTAAACATATACATATTATAAATATAAACACCCATCACTGCAGTACAAACATTCGTCCTCATTACACAAATAAATGTCCCCAGTTTGACTCGAACCCGCGACCGCTGGCACAGCAAGTAGGGTCACTACAAACTGACCCAACGTGTATAATGGAAAGAATTATTATCTGATAAAAAAATTTGTTGTTGTTTTAGTATAAGAAAAGACTGAGCTAAAAATGTAATTAGTAATTAAAATATAGCTTATAGCACAAGCGACCAGAGAGTTGAGAGCTAGATGGGCTGGACCAGCGTGGACTAAGTCGTTGAGCATCCGCCAAAGTTGTTTCTACCACGGTCCTGGAGACCACTCGAGTAAGTGGAACATTACCTTAACAGGAATAAGAGATAAATATAATACATAAAAATTACATTATATATCAAATGATGTTTCACTAGCAATTACCTATTTCATTATATGTATAGATGGATATATACGAGTAATGTGTTGTTTAGGTACGATGATTATAACTTACAATTATAAATAACATGGAGATGATGAAGTATGGATTAGGGCTTCAAATATCTTCTCCTTTCGCTTCTGAAACTTTGTTTTCGCTTTTGGCCTATCGCCAAATTTTTCAGATTTTGAAGTCCAATTAGGTATGCCCCAAACCCCTAAGGTTAAGCCAGCTTGTAAGCGAGAGTTAGATTTGTGTATGGGATTATTCCCAAGTAGGCGCCTAATTTCTTCCGGGCTATTAGTTCACCTATCACTTCCTTGCTCTAATTCTTCGTTTTCTGTTCATTTTTGCGCTGGTGGTGGATCTTCAGGCAGAATCCGTCTACTTTGGTGTACGGGTTCTTCTTCGTAGTCATTTCAATCGCTCCACCTAGTAATAATTTATATATTTTAGAAACAAATACTCTTTTGGCTAATTAAAAATAACTTTTACTTCATTTTAATATTATAATACTTTCTCTTTCGGCTTATTCTTATGACTAGCGACTCACCCTCGCTTCGCTCGAGTTCGTTCCTAGCTTGCTTCCCAATACGAACTTTCATCCCCTTATTTCCCTTAAGGGATGATTTCCGGGAGAAAAAGTATCCTATGTCCTTCCCAGGATTTCAAACGATCTTCTTAGCAAATTTCATCTAAATCTGTACAGTAAATCCAGAGATTACCCCCCACAACTTCACAAACTCACAACTTTTGACTTTACCTCTTTTTAATATTAGTATAGATGTAAACCATGCCATCTAGTGACAAAATGAGGCATCCCCTTTTCTTTTGACGTCGACAGCAAACTACAATTTTCATTTAATCATTCATTAGCTAATCAAAGTTTATAATTATAAAACATTGTTAAAATATTATAAGTTAACATTTTATTTATAAAAAATGTAACTAAGCTGTAATAAATCAAACAGTCAAATTAGTTTTATAATATTACTTATATTTTTAAACAACAGTGAAAACTATACTTAGAACCACCGACATGGAGACGGCCACCGACTGTAGAGACCTAGCTGAGAAAGAATAGGGAGTTGTCTGCTAATATGCTTATCACGTTTTATTAATCTAACAGAGTATGGTGAAATCGGCTATAACTCGATTAATACGATGCTGAAGTCATTTAAAAAGCATCGTGGAACACATACCTACTTACCACGTTTAAACAAGAACTTTTAAAAAGAACGTTTGCTCTTTACAAAATACTGCAACTGCCTGACCTGCCTACACCTTTAATACTTAGCAGAGCTATGTTAAATCACCGTAGGATAAATAAAAAGCACAATTGCTGTAAAAGAAAATTTGCATTAATTATTTAATTAGGAGGTTATTAATATCACATTAGTTGC